TTATAAAATGCACCTGATGTGCATCAGTTAATTGTCAATGTGTTACATAACTAGTTGAGGTAGCTCCACGTGTAGCTAATTGACAATTGACTATTATCTCCAGGTTTCACATATAGGAGTCTGTGAGGCTTTGTTAATAAAGGTGTTTTCCCCAGCTTCAGAAGGGAGGTGCTGTTCACGAGTGAGGAGCAGGACTGACCGCTGAAGGTAAGTTTGTTCAAGCTTAGCAGCGTGTCTGGTAACTTTAGTTTGGGAGGACATCAATTTTCCTGTTTCAAGTAGTGTGTTCCCCTCAGTAGAGGGATTGGTGCTCAGAGCAAAAGCATTTGACAAACGAATGCACTGAGCGTGCTGGCATGAGCAAGCCTTATATGCATTCAGGTGAGGCAGGGAGAGAGTCGGGATATACTCAACAGAAATTTGAATAAAACAATCTTGTGTATTTCTCTCGAGAAAGTCAATAACCTGTTGAGGAATGCGTGAAATAGCATCATTCTCTGAGTAGTAAATTCAGTGTATAGCGGTGGGTAAACAGGACTGAAATCTGGGGGCTCAGTTACAAGGTTTTACAGTGACTTCTTCAATTCACTAGAATCTTGTGTGAAATGATAATTTTTTTGAAAAGTAATTTAACGTTAAAATCACATGTGGAAAATATTTTGAATTCCTCACCCTTAACTCAGATTTAATAAATTATTTTTTTATATAGATTTTTAAACTTATTATTTTTGAGACAGTTTCACTCTTGTTACCCAGGCTGGAGGGCAATGGTGCGGTCTCGGCTCAACGCAACCTCCGTCTCCTGGGTTCAAGCAATTCTCCTGCCTCAGCCTCCCAAGTAGCTGGGACTACAGGCACACACCACCATGCCCAGCTAATTTTTGTATTTTTAGTAGAGACTGGGTTTCACCATGTTGACCAGGATGGTCTCGATCTCTTGACCTCGTGATCCACCCGCCTCGGCCTCCCAAAGTGCTATTACAGGCGTGAGCCACCGCGCCCGGCTTAATAAGAGTTTATTTTGAACTAAATATTAGATTGGAGGAGTGCTGATGTAACAAAACTCCAGCCAAAGAAGACAAACAGACCAATGGAGACCAAAGAACTTTAATTTGGGCGCCCAGGCCGGCAGCAGGCTCACACCTAAGATGGCTGCAGAGTCCAACAAAGAAGGCAGTTTAGTTTATATGCGGTTTGAGGCAGGAAACCGAGGCAGGACGTGGGTTTGAGACAAAGACAATTAAGTTTTACCGTCTTGGGCTTCCTGGTCATGTTAACTCTACAGCCTTGAAGCTGAGGTCGGGGGTTGGAAGGGTGGGGAGGACGCCCAAGGGGATCAAAACGGGAAACGCAGAAGCATGTGTGGGCTACAGACCTAAAGATCTGCTCTGGTGCTCTGTCTGTGCAGGAGAGGGTGGTACCAGCTCTGCTTTGCCACTAGTTTCCCTGAATATCAAAGTTACAGCCTAGCCTGGAATGCAGGATAAGCTTCACCAGGGAGAGGTTACTTAAATTCCTTAGCCTTTATACAACTCCTAAATGACCTTTACTAAAAGTTAATTACGACCTGTGTTATACTTATTAAACTTTACTCTGTTCCATTCATTTTGTTTTCCTTCCACATTGAGGCCATCAATTTTTATTTACTGGGGCCTTTATATATTTTCAAGTCTCCTTGTGGGGGATGTTTATAATTTAATGTAGATACTATAACAAAGTTTGTCACACAAGTTTCAACTTAAGTTTATCACATTATAAAACATGGTCTAAGAATGACTAGGTATCCATTTTTATCTTGAAAAGCAAACAATGCCTACATTAATGAAAGACAATTAACTGTCAGAATTCACACTCCAGTGTATTAATTTATCAGCTCAAGCCATCCCTACTGATTTCTGCTGTGTCTACAGAGCTGTAAGATGTAATTTTGTTTATTTTCCTTAAACTATTTGGTAACTCTTATAATAAAACAACTGGAGAAACCTCTTATAGAAAACATAAGTTTTTAATTTTAACTTATATCCTCTTTTAACATTTAAGATAATTAGCTATTGATTTAATAATCTATAGTCTTTTTTTCCTGCTCTATGGAAATTGAAAATTTCTGCCAGCAATTAAAAGGACACTATTGACCATTAAAACAAATATGGATATGTCCAAGTATTACTATACTACATGTTTACTTCAGTATTAGTCTCATTTAGAACATTCAATTATCAAGAGTACTAATGACAATAGCAAGTAGGCAAATATGTAAAAATGTATCCAAATATATTTGAGGTCCTACTATCTAGCAGGTTATGATCTAGATACTGGGAATTTGGCAGTTTATAAAACAGGTAAAGATGTCTGCTCCCTTTGAAAATACATTAGGGGGATAGGGAGACAATAATAAACTATGAATGTAAATCACGTGGTATTTTAGGAGTTGATAATTGCTGTGAAGAAAAAAGTGGCACACAAAAGAGAATTTGAGAGTTCCAGAGGCTGGGGAGAGGCTGGAGGGCAAGTTAGAGTATAAAATACAGAACAGGTGAGACTTGGGCTCATTGAGTGAGTGAGAGCTGAGCACAAAGCTGGGGCAGGGAGGGGGTAGCCAGTCTCATAGTCCGGGAGAAGAGTGTTCCTGAGAAAGAAAACCGCTTGTGCAAAAGCTCTAAAGGGAGAGTGCTGGGCATGATCATGGAAAACCAGAGAGGCCAGTGTGGCCCAGGCAGCCTGAGCAAGTAGGGGTGTAAATTTGATAGGGCCAGGCTCCCGGATGCATTGGACCAAAGACTTAAATGACTTAAATTTTAGAAACAGCGGATTGTTGGTGGGTAGGGAAGAGAGGAACGGTGGGAGGAAAGGAAGCTGTGGAGAATGAAGAAGGCTTTGTGATGAAGGTGAAATGTCTAATTCGGCATGTATCTTAAAGTTAGAGGCAATGAGGTCTCCTGGTAAGTTCAGCGTATGGTGTGACAATGAGAACTAAGAGGACCACGTGAGCAGCTGAAAGAAGGACACTGTCTTCTAAGATGGGGGTGACTGTAAGACAGGCTGTGATATACATGCAGGAATTTTACTTTGATATTGATAGATTAATGTCTGGATAGATAATGCTGAAATTTGGAAGAGGTCTAAGCTGGAGATGTAAATATAGCAGTTGTGGCCATATTGATGGTATTAAAAACCCTAAGAGAATTGATTAGATCACTAAGAAAGCAAATGTAGGTGGAAAATTCCAATGACGAAGTCCTGAAGCTCTCCAATGCTGAGAGGTTGGTGAAGAAAGAAACAGTAAGCCAAAGGAAGTAATGCCTGAGGAAGGAGAACTGAGGTATCCTGGTGTTCTAGAAGACAAGGGAGTAAATTCGGTGGGAGTGAGTGATCACCTATGCCAAATGCTTCGACTGTTCAAGTAAGATCAATGTCGTAAATGTAAACATGTGACTGAAAAAATTTGGAGAGGCCATAAAAAGGAATGGTCTTTGAAAATGGGATCAAAGAAATGGGATCTACATTCGTTTCTAATTGCCGTTATTACAGCTTGTCACAAATACATTGACTTAAAATGGCACAGTTTAATATAGTAGCATTTTGGAGGTTGGAAGTCCAAAGTGAGTCTCACTGGACTGGAAGTGTCAGCAAGACTGCGTTCCTTCTGGAGGCTCTAGGAGAGAAACCATTTCTTGTCTTTTCCTGCTTTGGGGAACTACTTGCCTCCATTGGCTCGCGACTCTTCTCTTCTCACTTCAAAGCCAGCATTGCTAGGTTGGGTTCTTCTCGTGCTACTACTGTCTTTTGTTTTCTTCTTGCTCCTTCTTTTTTTAAGGACACATGTAACTGCATTGTAACCAACCATACTATCCAGGGAAATCTTTTTTTTTTTTTTTTTTTTTTTTGAGACAGAGTTTCACTCTTGTTACCCAGGCTGGAGTGCAATGGCGCGATCTCAGCTCACCGCAACCTCCGCCTCCTGGGTTCGGGCAATTCTCCCGCCTCAGCCTCCTGAGTAGCTGGGATTACAGGCACGCGCCACCATGCCCAGCTACTTTTTTGTATTTTTAGTAGAGACGGGGTTTCACCATGTTGACCAGGATGGTCTTGATCTCTTGATCTTGTGATCGACCCGCTTCGGCCTCCCAAAGTGCTGGGATTACAGGCTTGAGCCACCGCGCCTGGCCGGGAAATCTATTTTTAAAGCCAACTGATTAGCAATCTTAATTTTATCTGCAAGTTTAATTTCCCTTTGCCATGTAATCTAATATATTTATAGGTCCTAGGAATTAGGATGTGGCTATTTGGGGATGTGGGGTGTTAGGGTTTTTTTCTGACTACCACAGGATGATATCTGGAAGAGAAAGAATCAAGAAAAATTTTTTTCTTAATATAATGCAAATAGCATGTTTGTATGCTGAGGGGTGTAATCAAAGGGATACAAGAAAAATCAATGTAGGAGAAAAATAACTTCTTGGAATGGATAGGCCTAAGCAGATGGCATCTGTACTTGAGTACAGACATTGACTTTAATAAGGAATATAGCTATTTTATCTATGACAACAGGCAAGAAAGCACAATATGAGGGTGCAGATGCAAAGAGATTGATGATAGAGGTGGTGACGGTCTGTGGAAATCCTCTTCACATTGCTCTAATATTATTTGTGAAATATTGAACAAGGTCACTGGTGGGGAGTGAGGATAGAGGAGGAGTTCATAAAGGTTTAAGGAAGAAATATAGAAAATAGTCTTAACTGAGAGCAGGAGAATGAATGGACTGAGAAGGTATCATAGGCTTGCCTGGAACCATTAGAAAATTTCACTTTGAAATTCCTGGATGTGAATTTTTAGTGAAACCAATTAATAACATGGAGCTTTTCTTTTTTTAATTATTTATTTTTCATTTCCTTACATGTTGAAAGCAAAGTCATATCTATTAAAAAGTAAAATCACAAATCAGTCTCGGATTATTCAGAAGTGTAAGAAGATTGCTGTTTTCATGTTTTCCATTTCTCCCTCCAGTGACTTAAAGTACAGGTGTTCTTTTCAGTCATGTTTTCTCTTAAGGATATTAAAATAAGAAGAGTCTGCATCCACACCACTCTTAAAGTTCTCAAACCTTTTCTTCCCCATCTTGTTGGTTATCCACCAGGCCTAAGTTGGCATGTATTGCCACAAATATGCTACTACCAAGAAAGGATGTTCTGAGATCCAAACTTCTTTCACATCATTAGCCATGCTGATTAACATCAGCCACATACAACGACTGGTTGCCATCTTGTAGGATTGATCACCATTGCCTATGGTCTCTGTGACTTCTCCAGCTAGGGAATTCGCCGCAATATTTGATTGCACAGGTCCCGGGCAAATGTTAGACGCTATTATACCTGGGTATGTGGCAAGTTCCGTTCGAGGGCCATTTAAAAAAACCCCGAAGAGCATGCTCGCTGGCACAATCCACTGGAAACAGGTGCAGCCATGATACCTCGGAGGCAATTCATAGTGGCAATCTTTCCTTGCTTCCTCTCCATCACGTCAGCAGAACACACTTTGTCAAGGACACCGTCCCTAAGTAGTTAAGCTCTATTAGCTTTCTGCAGGATATCCAAGCTGGTATCCATGCACAGAGAACGCTGGGATACTCCACCATTGTTGACCAAAATGTCGATTCTACCAAACTCCTGGAGAACAGCTTTAGTAGCCGCTTCATGGGAACCCGTGTCGGTCAGGTCAAGGGGCAAAACAAGTATATCTTTTTCTTTTAAATTGCTATTCTCTAGGCATCTTCTCTTCACCCTTTCCAGCTCATGTACTCTTCTGGCCGACAGCACAAGAAAAACTCCTAGTTGGGACAACTGGTAAGCCAGCTCCTCACCAATTCCACTCGAGTCACCCACACCGCCGTATCAGTCAGCCACCGTTCTGGGCGTCGCCCCTGCCCCTCGGCCCATAGCAGCCGCAGGTCGCCATCAGCGCGCAGGGAGCGCGGCAGCCGCACAGCGAGCAGGAGCAGCCGCGCGCGCCCAGCTCCGCCTAACATGGGGCTTTTCTTTAGGCATTTTCAGCTTCAGATTTTACCAGGATGTGATTTTGTCAAGTTTACCAACCATGGATAAAGGCAAGGAATAGAAGGAAATTTGCAAGGGAGACAGGATATACCTGACCTTGGCCTCTGAACTGGGAAAGTTGGGAACTGAGCTAGTGCATGAGGGGGCGTGAATGGTCGGTAGAATCAAAAGACTTGAAGTCCCCTGAGGCAGGGAATAAAATAATTTTGACGTTGAGGAACTACAGGCTAAGACCAAATTTAGACAGCACATAAAGAGTCAATGTCATGTGACTGCTTACATTGTCTGCTAGGTAATTTCTGGTGTGTTTTCAACTGAGCCTCACAAATATGTAGGCAGAAGAATGGCACCATTCTTTACACAGAAGACTGATCTGGGGCCGGGCGCGGTGGCTCAAGCCTGTAATCCCAGCACTTTGGGAGGCCGAGGTGGGTGGATCACGAGGTCAAGAGATCGAGACTATCCTGGTCAACGTGGTGAAACCCCCATCTCTACTGGAAAAAATACAAAAAATCAGCTGGGCATGGTGGTGCGTGCCTATAGTCCCAGCTACTCAGGAGGCTGAGGCAGGAGAATTGCCTGAACCCAGGAGGTGGAGGTTGGTGAGCCGAGATCGCGCCATTGCACTCCAGCCTGGGTAACAAGAGCGAAACTCCGTCGCCAAAAAAAAAAAAAAAGACTGATGTAATAGATTCAAACTTGCCCCCCCAATAGCTAGGAAGTTCAAAATCTTCAGCTCAATTTCAGTTACTCATCTTTAATCTCTAAGTGTTTCATATATTTGGGTCAAAAGGAACGTGTCTTTAACCTTATAACTCCTTGAGCCTTATGATTTCTATTAACTTTTAATATTGACTTGAGAAATTACTACTTATTTTATCATACATAAAATGATTACTTTTTGTTTTTACTCATGAGGAATTTCATGAGGATGAATTAGGAAATGAATATGCTTAGGAAATGTTATTTATATGCTTTTATTGGATCTTATATAATGTGATGCCTTAAATACAATAGCTTCATTCTATTGGAAACCAACAAAATCCATTCAGATAAACTATCTGGGAAAAGACATGTTGAGACATTTGGGGAACAGTTCAAAACTTTGGGTAATTAATAAGTTATTGATTTTTTTTGGTGTTTCAATGCGAGAATATTTTGGTTTAATTTTTAAGTCTTTCAGAAATACAATAGTAACTACAAGAGAAAACATAAGCTGTTTGAGTTTTTCTTTGTGCCCTTCAGCAAGAAGCTAACAAAGGGCTGGGCACAGTGACTCATGCCTGTCATACTAGCACTTTGGGAGACTGAGGTGGGAGAATCACCTGAGGTCAGGATTTTGAGGCCAGCCTGGACAACATGGTGATACCTCGTCTCTACTAAAAACATAAATATTAACTGGGCATAATGATGGGCACCTGTAATCCTAGCTACTTGGGAGGCCGAGGCAGGAGTATCACTTGAACCTGGGAGATGGAAGTTGCAGTAAGCCCAGATCACACCACTGCACTCCAGCCTGGGTGACAGACCAAGACTCTGTCTCAAAAAAAAAAAAAAAAAAAAAAAAAAAGAAAAAGAAAAAAAGGCAGCAAACGAAGTTTGCAGTGTATGTGTAGAGGGGGGTGGTGGTCAGGAAGAAGGTGGTAAATAGAAGGATATAAGAAGCAGAGGAGCAGAAAATTGATGTCTGCTGAAATTGAGTATGCATAGGGATTCTGATTATTTTATCTACAAATATGTTTAAGTTTTTTTCAATCAAAAGCTTAAAGCAATTTCCAAACTATTTCACATAGACATGTTCATTTTCGTTAATTCCCCATCTGCAGGGATGCCCTAATTTTAAAACTTTTTTTCCCTGGGAGATGATGCTAGAGGCTGAATGCGGTCAGGAAATTGTTCAGATGTAAACACCATCAACACCCTCTACTGACTATGAAAATATAATTACTTGCTACAAATACAACAATTTTAGATGTCACAAATTCATGAATGTATTCTTCCTTGTTTTTATTTCCTTTGAAATATTTGAAGAACATTTCCAAGAGTCCCTCAGTCGATCAGTGATTCTCTGTCATTTCAGTTCTAAAACTTAAAAATATATTACCTTTGGAGGAGGTGAAGAAATGTATCTTAAGATGGATGCCATCATTTAGACTGTGATTGATTTTTTAAAAATTACACTCATCACTTTTAGTGCTCCTTTAATTAGGGTGGATTAATATTGTTTGACTAGATGATAGTAGCCAACAATCTACTTTGCCTCCTATGACTGAAATGTTTTCTCACCTCTGGTAGGTTGGGATCAATACTATGCCTACATAATCAGACCTGGGTTATTAAGCTAAACAATAGTTCCAATTAAAAACTTGTTTGACTTGGGGAAAATAGAAGAAACCCATAAATAAGCATTCTGGGTCAGTATTCCAGTTGTTCAAAGTAGGAATTCCATGAGCATAATAGCCAAATGGTACTTAAAAGCCTGAGAAAGTAGCCTATTGATTTGGAAATTAAATATCTGCCAATAACTTGAATGTACTTTATATAACAAAATGATAAAAATATTTCAGTCATTTGAATCACACATCAAGTGCATATTACTCATTGTGTAAATTTAATCTACTCGATAAAAATCACAAAATGAGTTCTGTAGGACATTGGTTTTTATTTGTTTTTTAAAAAAGCAGGTTTACAAACATTTATCTGTGTTTCTTGTAAGCATGATTTCAAAGGTCAGAAAATATGGCTTATCTAGTATTGTATTTTATCAATGTAGAAGATGCAATCTATGCCAATAAATTACTAGAACTCAGTATCTTTTATAAACCATCACAATTGTAAACATGTAATTCTCTAACAGTTGTCCATTAAAGTTTAGTACATGTTCATCCTTGTAGCTAAGGATATGGTGATCAGGGAGGCATAAATACTTCTGTGACTAGGAAAGGTACTTCGACTAAAGTCTAAAGATACCCACTAGAATGCAATGAGTGGCAGATAGAATGAGATTTTTGAAAGTAGCATTTGTGATTCTCTAATCTACTTTCATTTTAGGTGATGCATATAAAAATACTAAGTTATACGTAAATCCAAGAAAGTTCTGACTTGCATCATCTCAAAGGACCTGAGATTCTATAGTCGTTTTAAAAATAATTGTTGGGTGCGTTGAGTTTTGTTTTTTTTTTTTTTCATTGTCTAATCACTCTGCTATTTCTCAGATTGTCAGATTGGGAGTATTTGTAATTCTTACTGGTTTTTAAAAATGAGATTTTTTTCTCTAATAAATAGAATATTTTTACATTTCATCTAGCCACTCTGGGTATTGCAAGAAGGAAATAGAAGCAAGATTTTAAACTTTGTCATAATAAAGTAGAAAAAAATAAAATGAATGAAGATTAAAAGCTATGAAAGAAACATAAAGATCATTATTCACATTTAGAAAAACAAGAGATCTAAAACTACTTTTAGTAAGAAAAGAGCAGAAAAGGGAAATATAATTTTAGAATTCTTTATATATTCTCTCTCCTTGTTTCTTTTTTCTCTCTCTTCCTATTTCTCTTACTCTCTTCATTTCTCTCTTCTCTCTTATTCCTGTCAAAGGCTTTGTTAACTTATGATAACTTTTAAATCTATTATTTATTCATCAGATAAAACCGTTAATATTTACCATCACTGGATGACTCAGTAACTTGTCAGTATCCTTGCAATGTTTCTAAAAAATACCTGTGTAATGCTCCCAAATAATAAATGAGAAAACACTTGCCCAAGATTCATACATTGTTCAAAGTATTCCAGTGAAGAAAGACTGTTTGAAACTGTTCAAAAATCTTTGAAATAAAGCCACTAACTCTAGCTGCATTCTGTGTATGTGTAGACTTTGGACCTGCAGTAGAATTGTGGAATTAGCCTTTACTTGCTGGTTGACTTCCTTTATACCAGAGATACCATCGTGGGCCCTTTATCATGGGAAATGGTGACATTCAATGCCAGGTGGTTATTCAATGCAGCTTCAAGGAAAACTGAGCAACTCAGGGTTGTGTTGTGGGCCCTGATCATGCTTTATATGTACAGACATTTATCTTCTAAGGAAAATTTAAGCTATGACCCTTTTCATATCTAAAATGAAGGGAATTAAAGCAACTGAGCATTGGCTTACTCAGGGCCAAGTTTGATTGTGTTTGAGAAAAGCATATTGTGTTTCATTTTCTCATGAGAAAATGGAATTTTAAAAGTTGTTTGTTCTGCTGAAATTAGTATATTTTAGTGGTTAAGAGTTTAGATCTGAGTGAGAATTAGAGAGATGGTTCCTCATTATTATATGACCTTGGGCAAAATATTGAATATCTGGCAACTTTTGTTCTCTTATCTTCAAATGATTATATGACAATGATTATAACCAATTCATTGAGTTAATATGAAGATTAAATAAGACAAACTTGTATGGAACAATTTCTGGATCATGGAAATGCTGGAAAATATAAATTATAATTTTTGACTCCAGGAATATCCAATTAATTTTTCAGCCTTCTAGGATCAGTACTAATTTTCTTTTCCCTATTGAGTCATTGGAATCATGATGCTGCATGACTTCTAGAAATATGGCTGCCTCCTGAGTATTCAGAGGGCCCTGGGATGGTACTAGAAATGATATTCTAGTGGGGGATCTCAGGGAAGTTGTTTGAACATCTTGGGCTCTTACAGCTCCCTGTACCCCACTTTGCTCTCAAATGTATTCACAACTTCTGCTCTTCTACCCCAAGGCTAGCTAAGACAAAGCCAACTCTCGTTTGACTGATGCCAAACTTTATTCAAGAGTTGAACATAAAAGAGGGTAACACAGAAAGGCAAACTTAAATTTAGGTGTTAGGTATCTTTGCTCCTAAGAAGGTTCTAGCTCACTGCCTCTCACCCCACTCGCAGCCTGTCACCTGCCATGAAAGCTTCTCATCAGATAGGCAGTAGCTTCTTCCTTCAT